TAATTGTGTGCCATGGAAAATTATTTTAAAAATGTGTTACTTCAGTTTAATAGAGAGGATCAGGAAAACCAGTTCTTTTAGGTAATACACTCCTTTTAAGTAATATACTTACTGGTAAGCTGGGATACATCTCTAGATAAATCAGAGTAGAACTTTTGTGGGAAAGATTGAAGTAATTAAGGCAAAAATAAATTACCTGGATCAGTGGTTCTCAATCCTCTATGCTCATTAGAATTCTCTAGGGAGCTTTTAAAAATTACAGATACAGGTCCTACCTCTGCTCAACTAAAACAAATTTTCCCTACCATTGGACTTTTTCAACAACTCCCCTAGGTGATTCTAATTTGTAGCCAAGGTTAGTACACTGATTTATGTTGTTAAAGGCTAAAAAAAAAATTAAATGACTAAATAAATCTCAGTTCATGTTTTAATTTGAAGCATATAGATTATTTCTTCAATGTCACTTGTTCTAAAATGGTTAGCACAGCCAGGCGCCAGTAGCTCATACCTGCCTATAATGCTAGCTACTCAGGAGTCTGAGATATAAGGATCATGGTTTGAAGTCAACCCAGGCAGAAAAGTCTGTGAGACTCTTTTCTCCAATAAAGCACCTAAAAACTGAAAATGGAGATGTGGCTCAAAGTTATAGAGAGCTAGCTTGAGCAAAAACGCTAAGGGACAGACTCCAGACCCTGAGTTCAAGCCCTATGACCGACAAAAAATGAACAAAAACCTTCCTCAACGACAACAAAAAACTGTTAGCACACTTGGTTGCCTGTAACTTTAAGACCTAACATTTTCAGAATGGCCTTTAAAACCCTTCATAGATAGTTACTACCTTATTTTTAATTATCTTAGCTATACACTGTTGAATTTAAGGCATTTCAATAATTTCTTGTGGTTTTCTTCCTCTATGTTTTTAGTTTTCTATTTTTTCCCTTCCCATCAGATATGACCTTTTGTAAAGGCAGTCATTGCCTCTGTGATGGTAGAATAATGATAATTATTTAATGTAGTGCTGATTTGTATAAATTTTCAACTTATGAGCATTTTCCCGAAGATAGAAAGTCACATCTAGATTGGCTGAACAGTTAATACTCCTTCAACTATACTGTTCAAGATATGTGTGTGTGTGTGTGTGTATATATATATACATGTATATATATATATATATATCACTACTCACATATATAACCCATTGCTCACCAATTCCAATATTGATACTTAAGTATGTAATCCCAGAATAGGTATTTAATTTGGTTTCATGAGTTCTTTCCTGTAGACATCTGAGTTCTGAGTATCTTATTCCAATGCCTTCAATCATTTTAAGGAAGATCACTACATGTAATTTTTCTTTTTAAAATGGGACTATTTGTACTTTAAACAAACTAAGAAATATTTAAGACACTAAAGCACTCATATTCTTGTACTATATCGGCTTTCCACATTTGGTTACAGTATATGTTTCAAGTATGAAATAAGTGGATGCGGTTAGCATTTTCTTCACCCCTAGTTTTCTTCGATGCCACAGGAAGCCAGCCTGCTCACTTGGATACCTGATAGTCTGCCTAAAACCTCTTCCTCAAGTATCAGCATTTTTCCCAAGACAGGAGTCTGGAACTCTTCTTCCTAAAGATATGTACATATTTTTAAAGGGTTCAGAACATTTCTTTATCATCTGACCACCTATTAAAACTACTACCAAAAGGCCTAGAGTTAAGCAACAACAACAACAAAACCCCAAACCCTTATTTCCATAACAGAAAAAACAAACGTCATGAAATACGTCCAGAACTTAAACATCAGTAAAGTGGCAGAGCAGGGGGAATAGTAAATAATGTTTTAGATGAAAATCTGATTTATAAAATAAAGGCTTATCCTGGTATCTCTTCCTAAGTCTTCCCACTTCTTTTACACTGTTGGAATTTTATGAAACGTAACAACGACAGGTGAGCAAATATAGTAATATCCTGAACTGAAATTTCCTTTCAATTAAGAAGGTGGTTGGTTTATTAGGATGATTTGTTGTGGAGTTCATACTTACAAAGTTGTAGTTTATGTATTCATCACAGTACAGATACATTACAATGATACATTCAGGATACTCAACTAGAAAACAAATTGTCGAATTCAATTTTTTAGGCAAGAGTCCATCTAACTCCATTGCTATGGGAACAGTTTCTTCACCCTTAAGTCCTTATTGATCATGATCCTAGATTTTTTTTTTTCATCAAACTCAATCTGGTATGAGATGCTGGCAACAGCCTGCTGGGTGCGGACTGCAGACCTACCACTGGAGGGCGTCTGGACGCTTCCAAAGCGCTCCGAAGCGCCTGGAAATCCTGGGACTCAAGGACTGGAGTACGCAGGGGCGCCCAGGAGAGGGGTAGAGAATATGTTATTTGATTTTATTAGATAAATAAGTTTAAAAAATGAGAGAGAAAACTGACAGTCTGGGGAGGAGAAACTAAACTATTTCTGTGTTGTGTGTGTTTTTTTTTTCTCCTGGAGATGAACCTTCCCACAGAGGCAGCAAAACTTAAGAGTGAAAAATACCAAGGCGCAGAGCCCGCAGAGCCCCGGGAGGCCGGGTCTCGGGAGCCGGTGGCCCTGCGGCGCCGGGCGCCGGGCTGGCTTCCAGGTTGCCGGACCACAGAGGGACCCGTCTCCAGGCGCAAGGACCGCCTGCCTGGCTGCCAGGTGATCGCGCTTCGGTGGCGACGGAGGAACGAGGCGCTGCACGCAACCTGTCCTGGAACACTAGGAATGCAAGGCCTTTCCCCAATAATAATTAACTCCTCTCCTCCTTCCCTCCCCCGGTTGTTCCCGCCACGGGTTAGTTCGAGGTATTTGAGGGAAGTGGGCAGCGAAGCAACCTCAGGATTGAAATGGAAAGGGTGCGAGGCATCTCTGAAGGGCTTGCCTGACGCACATTCAGTTCCTCTCGGTTAAGATTCGCACTGAATTGTAATCACTTTACAATGATATTTTTTCACCGATTGTTTTAAGAAAAACGTGCTTTCAAGACGTCACTTTGAAGAGAATCGTTGCTTCCTGCTTAAAAAAAAAAAGAAAAAAAAAAGGAAGACCTCTAAGTCCTGGAAAGGAAGAGAAGAGATGGAAGGCAAAGAAGGAACGATGCTCAGATTTCCAGATCGCCCTGCGCCAGGCAACGTGCAGAGATTTACAACAATACAGTTTCTCTAGGTCGGTTCCAGCCCGTCAGCTGAGACTGCCTAACCACCTGAGCAGCCCCAGAGGCAGATTTCCGCTCTCCTACGACAGAGTAGGAGCCAGGTCCTATAAAATGGTAAAGATCCCTACTCCTAAGTGAGAAGACGTCAAATCATCGCTCAGCCCAGATCCAACTCAGCATCCAAAGGGTTACACGTGGTTGCCGGGCTGAGCAGAGGAGAGGACGCCTCGGCACTCCCAGTAATTCAATTAGTCAGGTTTCAGGAAGGTGGGGCGTCGTGCGCGCGGGGGGGGGGGGGGGCGGTGGTTAGGAGGCGCGGGGAGGGAGGAGACGAGGAAAACGCCTCTTTCTCGTGGAACAAACCAATCCGGTTGGAGAAAGGAGAGAGGGAAAAAAAAATCCCCGATCTGTAAGCAAACAGCAGGCTGTTCCCTGACTGGTTGCGCCACTCACCCCCCCCCCGCACCCCCATCCCAAGTAAACTGCTTGGAAGAAGGGGGGGGGGGAGGGATGCAGCCCACATGACCCGGGCCGCGGTGGCAGCAAGCTGCGCTATCTGGGCGCGGGCTGGCGGCGCCTCCCCCTGCTCGGTCCGGAGCTCACACCCGCGCCGCCTGCCAGCCCAGCGCCCCGCACAACACGCCCGGGCGGAGCCCAGCCCCCGCGCCCACCCTCCACCCTCCACGTTCACGCGCCGGGCCTCGCGCTCCGCTGAGGCTGCCGGCCGCTCGGGTCGCTGCTGCTGCTGTCGGCTTTACACGCAGGTCATTAACGAGGGGGCGTGCCCGAGGAGATTTTTCCCATAAAGCATTTTTTCCCTTTCTTTCCCCCCCCTCCTCCCTCTTTCGCAAAACTGACTTTTACCCCCTTTCCACTTCTCGCCAGTCGTTCCAATCTCTCCAGGGCTGCTCGTGCTGCTGCTGCTGGTGGTGGCTGCACTCAAGTTTATTTATTTTCCCGCCTGGGTGATAGGGGTTGTAGGATTCCTGGGTGGTTTTCACCTCTTGTTGTTGCCGTGCCTAAGCTGCAAGGAGGTGCTGCTGCGGGAGGAACGGGGGAGGTTTGTGATGTAGTCATTGGGGAGGTGCCACTAGCTCCAGCGCGCTCTCTCCTTTTATTCCCCCTCCCCCTTTCCATTTTTTTCCCCTTCCTCCCCCCCCCCCCCCCTTCAAACTGATTGATAGATCTCTACAAGTTGCTGGGCTGAGGGCCGGAGCCGTCGGAGGCAGAGGGGACACTTCTTAGCGCTCACTCGGGGCTCCTGGCACGGCGTGGAGGAGCTCAGGCTAGCTCCCGGAAGGCGATCGGAGACTGACATCAGCCGGGCCAGGAGTTGGAAAGTGATTGTTTCCCCTCCCGCTTTCTCCAGCTGAACTGTTGTTGGGTTGGCGTCGTACGGCAGGTTTGGGCATCCCAGTTGTCCCTGGCTGGCTGGTTCATAACCTCTGTTCTCCATTCACTCTGCTGCACGCACATCCGGCCAAGGAAAGCACGCACGAGAAGTCCCCGCGCCTCGGCCAGCGCCCGGAGTGCCATCTCTCGCAGCCGCCGCGGTCCGACTCCACTGGGGACCTGCTGCAAGACGCGAAGAGCCAAACTTTTCTTTTGAGGTTTTCGAGGCCAGATCGCTCCTCACCGAGCGCAGCTGCTGCTCCTCCCGTTCCAGGACACCGGCGGGTCTGGGTTTGCGGATCCCCACCCTTCTCCTCTGCACCTCCCGGTACCGCAGTACCTACGCCTCCTCCGAGATTTCCAGGGGTCGCCCGATTTAAGGCACAGAGGGAGGCTGGGGAAAGCGCTCAGACTCCCCACCTCCCCCTCCCGGGGCCACAGGCGTGCAGCCCCCTCGTCTACACGGCGCCCTCCTGCAGTTTCCCACCAGCCAGCAAAGTAACTTGGAGCAAAGCGGAGCGCAGTGCGAGGGCCCAGGGCAGCGGCGGAGCCGTGCGCAGACTGCCGCGCCGCCGCTGAGCCGGGCCCGGCGGGCCGGTGTATGTCTCCCCGAGGCCGCGGCGCGCAACTCCCGGTGACTGTGCTGCGTGCGCCGCCGCCTGCCCCGATCCGCGCTGCCGCTGCCCGGCCAGGTCCGCACCTCCCTCTCCCGGGGTGACCGGCCTGCAGCCGACGCCCGAGACACAGCCTTGCACCCTTTCTCCCGCCCTCTCCACTGCCGCCACACACCCGCTCGCGTCTCTCCATCTTGTGATTCTTTTTTCTCCTCGAACCCTTCAGTGGGGGAGCGAGTTTGTCTTTAACCACCCCCTCCATCCACCGCCTTCTTTTCTTCTCGCTCTCCAACCCCTCCCGAGCTTGGTGTGTTCCTCTTTTCCTTTCTCGCCTCCCCACCCCCCTTCCCGCTTCGTTTTATTTATTCATATTTATTTGGCACCCGCTTTCTTCTTTCTGTCCCTTTCCCTCCCTCCCTCCGGATCCCTGCTCTCTTCCCCCGGAGTGGCGCGTCGGGGGCTCCGCCGCTGGCCAGGCGTGATGGTGCACGTGGAGATGTTGACGCTGGTGTTTCTGGTGCTCTGGATGTGTGTGCTCAGCCAGGACCCGGGCTCCAAGACCGTCGCCGACCGCTACGCTGTCTACTGGAACAGCAGCAACCCCAGGTAAGGCGGCTCGGGGCGGACAGCTGAGGCTTCTCGGGCCTCAGGGCCCGGGGAAGGAGCTGCGGTGGCAGAGACCGAGGCGCGCTAGCTGAAGACAGCGCGCACCCAGCGTCGCCCGGGCGCTGCTGGCTTGGAGGCGCCGGCGGGAAGCACTCCCTTCGCGCCCCGCTTTGTTAAGCCACCACTGGAAGGCCCGGTGCTCCCGGGGATTCCTGCGGCTGCCTGGCCCCAGCTGCACTGGGGGACGTGCGGAGGATCGGGAAAGGGCGGGAGCCTAGGAGTTGGGACTTGTTCGCTTCCCAGCCGGGGCAGTCTGGCCAACATCCCCATCCCGGCTCAGGGCTTGGGCGCCGGGGATCCGCTGCTGTGCGCCGCCGACATCTCCTGCCCTTAAGTCTGAGTGCACAGGGACTTGGGGAGACAACACGCCAAACATCTCCAAACTTTTTTTTTTCTTTTTTCTTTTCAATTCGCCTTCTCTTTTCCACCGATGCGCGCAGAGAGCGCACGGGCTTAAGGGGGAAGTGAGGGGGGCTGGGAGGCGGAAGCTTTAGGTTTTTTATTTTCCTCTTTAACTGCGAGAAAAATCATTTGGCCCGGAATCCGTCTGGGCCCGGCGCTCTTGGCAATGGAGAGGATGCTCCCACCTCTTGCAGCCCCCTCTCACCTAATGGGTTCCAGGTGCCACAAAGTTTGATCTAATACCGGGTTACGTCATGTGTGCGGAGCAAGCTGCTGGAGTTGGAGGCACTGGAAGGTGGGAGCCCTCCGCCCGTGGCCTGGCGGTGCGCGGCCCGAGGCGCGCGCGCGGTTAACTGGAACCGCTTTGCAGGCGCCTCGGAAGCCCGCCCAGTACGCTGGAGGCTGGTGATGGGCGCCCGGGAATGTCTGGGCGCACGTGCTGGGCCCTAGCCAGCCGCAGACTTCCAGTTTGCTTGGACCCCGAAGTGGGTGTCTGTGTCTGTTGAGGTGGAGGGGGGGGGGGTATCCAGAGTGTCTGGCGGACCCTTCCCAGCCCTAGATCTTACTTTCTCCCGGGCCTGGTGGCAGCACTGTGCCCCCACCGCGCCCGTATCGCCCAACATCTCTGGGACTCAGGCCAGCTCCCATCTGTGAGAGGTCGGTGCCTCCTGGGAGGGAAATCGTATCGATTGTACCTAAAAGCATAGGGCTTTCTCTAGGCTACTCAGTGGAAGTTGAGAGGGAAAAGGCTAGTGGCCGAGGAGTGAGCCGGTGGTTGCTGCTGTCCGGTTTACCGTGGAGAGGGCACCCGCGAAGCCTCCAATTGTAGTTCCCATCGGTCCTCTCCACCCATCTCCAGTCTTCCCTGGGAATGCGTTCGTGCCAGGGCAATGCTGGGCTGACTAGAGTCAGCTGAGATGATGATGAAGAGAAACCTCTACCAGCGAGCTATTCGTGGGTTGTGGACCTGAGATGAACACCCCCTGCCCCTCCCCTGTTAATCCACAGTAGTCACACCCAAGTAGCCAGAGTCCTAAATACACTGACTAGCAGAAGTGCTGACATTCCCGAAAGTTGAGTGTGTGTGTATGTGTGTGTGTGTGTTTTAAAGTCTCATGGAGGTGGGTGTTGGAAAGGGAAGCTACTTCTTCTTTGACATGCCACTTACCACTATTAGGAAAAGAGAAAGAAGCCATTCTGCCAGAGAAGATGCCTCTTATTAAAGCTGACAAGACAAATAGAGCAAGCTTTCCAGTTCTGATGGTGTTAAAAGCAAGTCTAATTATGTTGCTTGGTTTTATTCCCATTTGGGCCTTTTTTTAAAAAAAAGACAGCGTATATGAAACAAAAAATTATATTTCTAAACTTTACTACTATATTCAGGAAAGCACGAGGGAGTTCTTTAGTTGAATTTGGGGTATTTTGCTCTTGGTTGTCACTCTTAACTTCCCAGTGTGTTCATTTTCACTTGGTATTCATTTATTTGGATATACGGATGTTCCAGTCTTCCCTAGGTTCAAACAGAAAGAGCCAGCAACACACCCATGCCCCTTCTTAACCTGTCCGGCTAGCCTGAGTTAGATTGAGGACATTTTATCTTAAGTTATCTCTGTTTTATGCTTTTGATACTGTTGTTTGGTTTGAGATTAGCACATTGATTTTTGTCACAGGTCATGTTTTTTAATACATCTGCCCTACCCGAAGAAAGCTCTTCTGCCCAGGATTGCTATGGTGGCTTTGAATCTGACCATAGTTAACATGTAGAATTTTCACACACCAAGAGTATTCTTAAGAAGTCTCTGTGCTTATTTAAACATTGTGAAAAGATCTTTCTCTTAGTTTGATAACTTCCTCAAGAAAGAATGATATATCCCACTCACCTTCAAGAAATGTAGTTCCAACATTTAATATTCTTATGGGATATAGAGGTATTTATCCTAATGTTATTAAAGTAAAACTTAAAAAACAGTATTTTAAAAGTAGATAGGTAGTGTAGGCAGTTTGTAACTCAAAAATATTCACTTAATATTGGTGCATTTCTATGTATTAAGAAAAATCAGGTTAGATGTAGTTTTCAAAACTCAAAAATATCACAAAGGATAGAAAATAGTTCATGTATGTTATGATTTTGTACAGTAAGTTGTCAATATTATATGAAAGTGTCAAGATTTTGCTGAACTATTAATCTGCAGACTTCAGTCTATTGACAGTGTACACCACCTTAATCACAACTTAAATAGATTTTTAATTTTTATCTTAGAAGAAAAGTTCAGTAGATAGTGTCAAACTAAAATGAGTACTGTGTGTAACTGTAATATACTTTTGTGTATACTAATAAATTCCATCTGAAGTTGTTTAGTTAGGTAAAATTAGAATTAAATATTTCTCCATCACAGGAATTGAACATCTTATTGTGTTACATCTACTTGTGCTACAAGTAACTGTATAACTGATACATTCAGTATCATTACTACCCCTCCATTGATAGTAGGAACATCTATGTATCTAGGGTCACAGGAAAAATATTAACTTAGGTTCCATCTGAATAGTAGTTTTACTGTTACAATCTGTCTTCCTACTAGTCACTTCTGGGAAGTATATATTCAATTTTCAAATTGAATATCTGCTAACTTTGTAGTTGGCAGGATTTATCGGGCACTGAGCCAAACTGATTCTATGCATTGGATTGGCCCAAATCTGAAGAAGCAATTGAAAACTATCAGTCTGAATAGAAATATTATATGATTGCATTTGTCCTCACACCTCCTCCACAATTCTAAAATCTGAAAACTTGCATGACTTTTACCTAAAAGTGTGAATGATAGAATGATCCTCTTACTGTTAGGTAGCATTTGTCACTGGAATATTGCTAAGTAACTTTAAGTCATGTTAGTCTAAATCAAAGAAAATAGAATTGTCTTCAATTTCTTTAAGATTGTAGGAAGGTCTTAAGTAACTTTTTAAAAAGACCGTCAGTAATAAAACTTATTTAATTCTCCCTTAGTAGCCAGCTGTGCTTTTATATAGAGACATGACATAGGATTGAGAGCATGCCTCTTACCCTGGAACATGCTGTAAGAAGTTAGGTTCCTCCAGTGAGAATATTCTTTTAAACACTGTGTATATTGAAAAGTTCTTCTTAGACTCTTTTGACAATTTACCAACATTATGATAAGGTAATTAAACAGGTTTCCTGGTTGACATTATGAGTTGAATACAATATAATATTGCAGCAAATAAAAGCATCATACTATTATCAACACTAATTCTTCTCTGTTGGTGCTTTATTTCTGTCAAGATTTGAGTATTGTAAATTTAAAAGCCTTTTCTTTCAATTGAAAAAAAAACTGTGAATGCATCAAGCGTTTACTGAACTTTAACCTCACTGTGTAGTCTTTGGATTTTTTTTCATTCTTTAAAAACATGTAAATTAAGCATTTCACATTAGATTAGAAAGTAACTATATCATTTACAATGGTCAACAAGTAATATTAGAATTGTAGGAAGAATTCTATAACAGGATTCCCTTTACTCTGCTCTTTCACTGGCTATCCATTTTTTCCCTAATAATATTCCTTTATTTTTCATCCAAAATTTAGTTGCTTCCATTTCAGAGATCGGAATAACCATCATTTTTTTTTTTAAAGCAGTATACTCTTTTCAATGAAAAATAAGTGAATTTATCATGGTTTAAACCCAGAACTTGTGCCAAAAAGTGAAAAGTTTATATCTCAGTTTTCAAGGGTATTACTTAACTTGTAAAAGATTCGCTTCATTTTTTTTAAAAGTTAAAATCTTTTAAATGTTTTTCATGTTAGACACATCACTGAAAATATTAACTCTGAGCCTCAAAGTAATATGATTTTGTTATATATGTTGGGATAATTTTTCATATTTATATCAAAGTTTATATTACTATCAGGATAAAAATAAAGCACTATAGATGAGACTTTTAGCCTTTTTGTCCCCTTAAGACATTCCTTCCTTTCAACCCAGATATTTGCAAAATAGAAGTGTGCTTCTTGTTCTTTAGCCAGTTTTCCATAGAGTTTTGCAACGCAAAGTTATCTACCGAGTTGTCATCTTCCGGCTATTGTGTGCATTATTTTAGATATACAAAATAAATGCCAAAATAGGCAACTGTCTATTTTTTAGGTGACTGAACATCAGTGCTCATTGAGGCACAGTCTTATTTGGCTGTACAATCAGTCTCAGTTGCCATTTCCAGTGTGAAAGTAATGTCAATACATTACTGGTGATTAAAAGGATCAGAAAATCTTTAGTTCATTATTCCATTTCACATGACTTTAGTGCTATTAACTAGACCACTGGCTCATGGAAGTAATAGTTTATTGTCATGTGTGTTATGGCTGATAAAACTCTGGCTTTAGAAGTTTTTACCTTTGAAAACTGAGAATCAGATTTGGAAAGAGCACTTAGCTATTTGGGGCAAGTTAACCTCCTGAATTTCCTTCCATTTAATCTTGCAAAATGCCTTCTGAACTGGCATTTCATTGCATTCAGTCCACTGGCCTGGT